TATGAACTAGGGTTACAAGTCTCCCAAAGGGAGTATAAATAAACAAATAATGGGTCGGGCCGGTAATATGGTCCGATAGACCCAACTACATAAAAGACTAATCTAGTACATACAAATGACATATGAACTCTACAATAATACAAATGATATAAATGACATCCGATAAACGTGAGTGGGCCGCTGTCCGGTCCCAATAGTCGTGAGACCCGGAGGTCCGAGTCTATATACTCCATCAGGAGTCCCCCACTCCCTGAGTCGAGAGTACTCGAGGCGAAAGGGAGTAGAACTGTGTGCTGATCTATCGTCTGATGAGTAAACTTCATGAAAAATTTTGAATTTCTACTTCTTTGGTTAACGGAGGCGCTAAGTCCCCCGCTCTTCCAGTCCCCCACTCCTTGAGGTGAATATAGTGAGGTGAAGAGGAGTAGAGTAATGCACGTCTTGAATAGGGGGTCGAGGGTCGACACCTTTTGATCCATAATGGGGAGATGCCTTGTTAAAAACCTCATTAGGAAAAAATCCTAATGAGGGAAAAAGAGTACACCGAATGTCCCCAATATGAAGCAAAAGGGGTGAGCCCTTCGTCTCTAGATGTGAGCAGCTCGGCATGATAACTAGTCTCAATCATCAAATAAAGATGACTAAGAGGTAGGTCGAGTGACCGTCCATAATGTGATGTCCGGGTCATCAAATAAAGTGACCGAGACATGTGGCCGAGAGGCCTATAAGAAGTCCAAGCCATCAAATAAAGATGACCAGGAGAGACGGCTAAGTGGCCAGTATGATGTCATCATATAGTTGCACTTATGTATTCAAATAAAATTGTTATAATTTCTTGAGCTTATAATTTGCTATTTGATTTGGGCTTAAATTAAGTTGCCTCAATTTTCCAAGCTGCAACTCAAGCTAGGTTTCTATGCTTAGTTGGAGCGTGGCACGCATAAAGGACTATACCTACCGCTGAGGGATTGCAGTTCATTTCCGATAGCTAGAGGCACACATAACTCATACAAAACATAGAAACTAAAGTATGTATTAGATAACATTTGGATTGGGAGCTTACTATCCACACTCGTTTGACGTTACCCGGTGGCGCGAGTGTGTGTGCTCGCCCGGTGTACGCGAGTGCTCGGAATTTCATAAGTTCGTTTTTTCAATGTCAAAAAATACACACTATTTAAAAAATAATGATAATAAATTAATAATCTAGTTAAACTCGTCACTCAAGTTCATAGCTGGGATCCGCTAGACGCTATTTACGGGTCTTTTCACGGATGACTCGTCCCTCGAGATTGAAGTTTGATGCTATATTATTAAAATATTTCATTTATGATTTTTTTGTAATAATTTTTGAATCAATTTGTGATATAATTACTAATTGTATAAAGGAAATTTGGGAGCACTTAGCTTTTTGAAAGAATAGGCTTGGGCAGAATAATCCATTAGATAAGCCTGGCCAAAATAGTAAACTGCCAATGCGGAGGCCTTCCCTCTTGTGTTGCCTTTGGACAAATAATAACAAAGTGCCATGTACGGAGATGGGCAGAAAGGGGGAAGGGTTCAAGCTCGTTCGTGGCTGCCTCCCGCTTCCCCATGGCCATTGTTGCCGCTGAAGAATAGGCAGGGTCGCTTCGGTCGTGGCCATCTCCGGTGGGGTCTCCCGTTTGTTTCAGCTTGAGCTGCATTTGGCTGGACCGTGGAGGGAGGTGAGTAGAGTGAAAGTGGCGCTAGTTTCTATTTGACCGCTGCCGACGAATGACAACCGGTCGTGCTACGACTCAGGCCATCTGCTTTTGGGACTGATTCGAAGGAAAGGCAGCACCGCCGTTCTCAGCTTGGCACCTTCGTCGTGGGGCCGGTGCAGCCAAGGACTTGAGCCAGGGACGGCGCTGCGACAGAGATGGAGTTGCGACCAGCGACTGCAAAGCAAGTTGTAGGCCTGGACGGAGAAGACAGTTCAGGCTGAAAAAATCCAAATCTAAAATTCCAGACTTCTTTTTTCGCTGAATTTCTAGAGTAGTTTTTGACTGATTTCTTCATTTTTTCTATTTTCCAGAACACTTTTGGCATATTTTCTGGGATTCGTATGTATTTTTTGAACTTTTGGGAGGAATCTAACTTTTTTGCTCAAACCTTTCAATGAAAGCACCATTGATGGATTATAGGGATCCAAACTATATAATAAATGGAGAGATTGAGCTACAGAGAGGAAGAAGATGATGAATAGTGATATTGCTTGTGTAATAGGAATTATGAACTAGGGTTACAAGTATCCCAAAGGGAGTATAAATAAACAAGTAATGGGCCGGGCCGGTAATATGGGTCCGATAGGCCCAACTACATAAAAGACTAATCCAGTACATACAAATGATATATGAACTCTACAATAATACAAATGATATAAATGACATCCGATAAGTGTGAGTGGGCCGCTGTCCGGGCCCAATAATCGTGAGACCCGGGGGTCCGAGTCTATATACTCCATCATTATCAATACTTTCTCTATATAAATATATAATCTGTCAAAGTTAGACATCATTGACTTGAAAAGTCAAGTTTGATTAAAAACTATGGGACGTGAGAGTATTAGGTTGTGGAAAACCATTTTCAAATAAAGGATGTGTTCAGAAATTGCCCAATATATGATTAAAACATATACAAAGTTCAAAAAAAGGACTAAGTATGCATGTTTTATTCTCTAAATAGGACTTATTTAGTGCTATTAAACGAATAACTTGATTAATACGTACTTTCCGAAATATGAGTGAATAGTGAAATACTCCTAGATAGAGTTTTATCCTCAAAGTTCTACCGGAGTCGTTTTTGTGTTAATACTTTTCGGACATGGGATATTTAGTGCAAAGTTAATTCTTATAATTAATATGTCCTTAGATTATATTATAAAATCCTAACGTCCTATTCAGTTTTTTAAAAAAACTAGCCAGTAGCTTGTCACCGCAGCATCAGCCTACCGTCGCCGCAACATCCACTCCCGTCACCGTGGCATCCTACCCCATCGCCGCGAGTCCGCGACATCCGCCCCTTTGCCGCGGCTCACGCCGCCCCGTCGCCGCGGCACTCGCCACTCCGTCGTCACGGCAACTTCTGCCCCCGCCGTCTTAACGCTACGACGTTGCGGCCGTCCTCATACCTTTGTGCCTAACCTCCACCGCTGTCTTCATAGCTGCTTGTCACGACTGTCCCCATTCTGCGGTGGCCATCCTTATGCCGCAGCACTGCAGCTATCCCCATGCCTATGCGCCTACATGAAGCTGTCTTCGCGTCTCCTTCCGCGGCGCCGCCTCCACCCGCGTTCGTAGCACCAACCCGTGGCCGCCACTGCCGTCTCCCTTGCCGCGGCTGTCCCAATGTCGCGACATCACCACTATTTAATTTTTTACGAAGTTAGGGTTTGTTAATTTAGGGTTTGTGAACATGGACAGTGGACAATAAATATGGGCAGTAAAAATGACAATAGATAGTATTAAATATGGACATTGAGCATGGCGTTGGATAGTGTTGTACATGTGCAGTGAATGAATGCATTGATGAAGTGTCTTGTACAGTGAATCGAAGGCATTAGAGCAATAACGACGACACGAGATGTAATATATTTAACTGGACGTAAAATACCGATTTAAAGTTATGACACTTTAAAATAAATAAATAAAAAAACTATAAAGAAATTCTTGACGTGGATGAGAAGAGAATTAATGTTGGCGGGAATATAGTGATTTTTGCTAGATGTGCAACAATGCTGTGCAGTAATGTTGTGCACTAAATGTAGTATAAAATGCAATGTTAAATTGACGAAAATAGTGTAAAATGCACATTTTGTAAATAAGGGTATTTTGGTCATTAAACATTATAATATGAACGAATTTTTAATTTTATTTTTTATTTTCAGTCATACGAATGTCTAAAAACATAGGTAATCATATTTAGGAAAACTCATTATGATTTAGTCATATCCCGGGAAATTTCCCTTTTAAATTATAGGTATTGGTGTACAATTTTTTTTTATGTTTAGCCAATCCAATAAAGAATCAAAAGCCCAACCAAGTGAAAGTCTTAAAGATTAATTTAAATGTGATCCATAATTTTAGTCCTTGTAATTTTTTAAGACATCATAACTTCATATATAATTGAATATTAGAGAATAGTTTAATATACAAAAGTTTAACTAATGGGATATATTATACATATGACATTGTCATTGATATGCTACATCAAAACAATGAAACAAATATTTACCTCGTACAAAATGGAGACCGAGTTTGACTCGATAGATTTTCTACATTCAATTTGAACGCTCGATAAACATGCTCAAATGTAGAAGTTTTGACTATTCTCATGAATAGATTGTGTTCAAATTATTCAATAAATACTTGAATCTTTAGTAATTGCTAATAAATTTATAAAATCGCACTAAAATGTTTAAATTTTAAGATTTATAATTTATTCTTATAGTTTATTATAAGAGTCATGAATAGGCTCGAGTCTGGATCGAACCGAACATCACCATGCTTGAACTCGACTTGAAGAATTATTCGAACTAAAAATGTAGGTCATGTTCGAGTTTGAAGTTTGTTATGCTCAGATTGTTAAATTAAATTTGAAATCAAGCTCGAACTCGAGTAGCTTGAAAAAAGTTCTATTCGATAACAACCCTAAACTAAATCTTATTTGTGCAGCGCAGTAATATTTTTTTTAATGTTTTTCCCATTACACCTTTTATTCGTTTATCCATCCATGCTTACTACTGAAACAAGGATATCATACATTTGTTGTAATCTCCAGAAAGGATGTATTAGATATCATACATATTAGATGCTCTCATGCTCCTATGGTAGATCGAGTTTTGACTATATTTTGATCCTATATATCACAATTTTCAATGACATTACGATATTTGAATTCTTCTTTTATTAGTATAATTTTTTATGTTAAAACTTCAAGAGTTAATATAACATTAAAGCAGAGCTTAATGAACATTCCAGGGCATATGGGCTGGAATGATCTTCGGTGGAACTGCAGTGCAAACTCTAATATTGTGTATAATCACACTTCGATGTGATTGGGAAAAAGAGGTAAATAACCCTTCACAAATGCATGCTTTCACTCGTCATCATCAAAATCATCACCATGGTTTCACTTAATATTACTACTACTATTGTGACTACTAATATTATTATTACTATTATTATGACCATTTTTTAAAGGTTGGCTTTTATTAAGAGAATATTCCTTAAATATTATTGAAGTGTAACTTATGGATAAAAGTATTACTATGGTTACAATGCATAGATTTTGTAGTGGTAGAGTTAAACACAAGATCACTAAAGTTACTATGATAGTCGTTAAAGCATATTCTTGTCCACTAGTTTTATTCTGATCACATATTTGTTACTCCGTATTATATATTTCTTGTATTAAAAGTAATGAAATAGTATAAACGCTGATGAAGAAAGAAAATTAGAGAAGCAACTAAGCTAGTATAATATAAAAACGCCATGGACAAAAAAAAAACTCTTATGCTCATATAGCTTAAGCAAAGTGCACCCAAGCTCCTATTTCACCCATTGCATTATTTTGAGAAATTCTAACAACTTGAATCCCAAAATGCCCTAAAGCGTACAAATGTAGCTTCCCAATTTTTCTTGAAAACATTATGAACCCGAATAAAATGAACTTAATGTTGTCTATTTTAGCTTGATGCGAGCTGAGCACTCCTAAATATTAATATGACTATCATTATTATTTCTATTACTATTACTATTACTATTACTAGTATTGTTATTGTTATTGTTACTATAACTTTTATTATTACTACTACTGTTACTGTTACTGTGATTATGACTATGACTGTCACGTTCATTGTCATTGTCACTATTACTCTTAGTACCGGTGATAGTAGCAATAGTATTGTTATTAATACTACGTATTATTGTATTATTGTTGTTATTACGGGTTCTAATATACTCCTTTATTAGTTTGTATTATTAATCTATACGACTTACTTGTTGAAATGTAGGCTAAGAAAGCAAATCAGCACATTCAGAAGTGGGAAGGAGTGGGTCACAACAAATTGTAGAAGCTTGGTGCATGGAATTATCATTGTCACATGATATTACACATGATACTACGATGAAATTAAAGTCAAACCCAAACACCTCAAAGATTCATTGTTGGTCTGACTTTTAACGATCCAGATTATAATTTGCGGACTCAAAAAAATAAAATATTCAATTCAGACCAAAGAAAACCACAAATATTACCCATAATAAATATTGATCCTTTAATTTTTCTCTATCATTCAACATTGTTAACAATGGTCGAGTAACAATGAAACTTTTTACTTTTTATGGGAAATCATGTACTCCATCCGTCCCTTATAACTTTGGCAACTTTCCTTTTTTGGTTATTCCAAAAATTTTGCCACATTCTCTTTTAGTCATTCAATTTGTGGTTCTTGTGATTTCTCTCTTCTCTGCACAAATCTCTACCACACAGTTTTTACTTTATTATTTTACGTGCCGGTCAAACTTGGCAATCCTTTTAGCTAGGGACGGAGGGAGTATAATAGAATAAAGAGACAATGTCGAGTAATGATGAAGTCTTTTACTATTTATGGGAAATCGTGTATATAATAACAGAATAAAGGTTTAAATATGTTTATAGTCATTGACGGCTCTAAAGTCGTTGTGTGCCTTAAAATAAAATCAATACTAACACTAATACGTAGTATAGTGAATTAGAGTTTGTATCCTTTTTATTTTATCATTTTTATGAATATTCATCCCTTTTTATATTATCTTTTTATCATAGTTTATCTTTTTTATCTTTATTTTCTTTTTTTTCTTTTGGTGGTGATATCATGTATCGATTCATGTTAGCCGACCCCAATATCTTTTGGGACTAAGGCTTGGATGTTGTTGTTGTAATGAAATAAAAGACTTCGCTTTGTTACTTTCCACTTGTTGATATATTTGTTGATCCCGGTTATATCGATAACTTATCCTCTCTCGAATACTCAATCGAGGAGTATTTTCAATTCATCGAGGGTAGTTATTAATAATGACAGTTCATTGATAACCCTTATTATTAGCCAAGTATAGAACACCGCCATATACCGACTTGATAATAGCATTTAATCTCTTAACTCCTTGACAAAATCAATTGAGATTGATAACCTCAACACAACGGTTTCGGTTTAACCAACACAACGAATCCCTCTTAAGATTATTAACCACGACCGTGCATTAATAACCCGGAGTTACTTGTGAAATCATCGATGATTAACCATCGGTTCATTTATCGTTTCTAGTAGCAATTAATGTTAAGATGTTAAGTAATTGTCATCTTAGCAACACTCCCCAACATTAATATAGAGATAGAATAAGGGAAGAATTAATATTCAATGGAAGAAGTAAGAAAATAACTCACAACTTTAATTAACTTTCAACAAGCTTCAAGAGCAAAACCAAGAAATTGAAGTTTAGCTTTTCATTTGGAGACTAAACATGCTAGCAAATTATAAAGAAAATACTATTCTAAGTTGAGCTTAAGTATATGGAAGAAGGGATGATTATAAGTGAAGGAAAAGTGTGCTATTTATAAGTGTTTTCAACACCTTTGGCCGGATACCCGACCAGGTATAGGTACATACCCGACTGGGTATCGGTTAAAATCAAATCGATCTTGCACGTTCTTGTGTTTTAGCGCGTCTTTTTTATCCGGGTCACTTCATACCCGACCGGGTATATGCCCAATTTCCATGAAGCTTCCTATTTCACTTCCTACCTGATCGAGTAAAGAGTATACCGACCGGGTAGGTCACTTGGGCAGTTTTCTCCACTTCAAAGTCATGTTTTCCAACATCACAAATCCTACCACTACTTTACAACTTACAAATGAAAGCTAAAATACAATTACAACTAAAATCACACAAACGTTTACAAACTAAATAATAAAGGTAGAGAATCAACATAAATCAAATATAAAAACATACATTTAGGCACTACTAACTACTGTGCATCAGTCATTGTAAATTAAATATAATACGAAGTATATCTTATTTTACACCCCTGTAAAATTACTCTTTTGTTTTGTTTTTCATCGCTGAAATTTATGTCGATATTCTTTTTAGTTCATCAATGGTCGGTGAAGATGTATGGCGTATTGATAATGAAACACATGTGGATGATGTGTGGTTATCAATGGAGTTGACCATTAACAAAGTGGCAAAGGAGGTACTTGGAGAATCCAAAGGATGTCTGCCACCTAAAAAGGACACATCTTGGTGGAATGATGAGGTGAAACAAGCCATAAGGAACAAAATAGATTGCTACAAAAAGTTGGGGACAAGTTGGAGTGATGAGAACCTAGAAGCATACAAGGAGGCTAAAAGACTAGCAAAGAAAGCCGTAAGGGAAGCACGAGGGAAAGTGAACAAGGAGTTGTATGAAAAGTTGGACTCTAAGGAGGGAGAACTAGATATTTATAGACTTGCTCGTCTTCGTGATCGCAGGACTCAAGATATTGCAAAAGTTAAGTGTGTGAAGGATGTCGATCAGAGGATATTAATGGACGACAGAGAGATAAAAGAGAGGTGGAGGTCATACTTTGATACACTATTCAATGGGAACAAAATGCAAGATTTGAGTGATTTGTCCATACCAGATTATATGGTAAATCGTGGTTTTGTGAGAAGGATCCAAACAACGGAAGTTAAAGAAGCTCTGAGGAAGATGGGACGAAAGAAAGCAATGGGGCGAGATGGCATACCGATCGAGGGTTGGAGAAGTTTGGGAGAGAGAGGCGCCGAGTGGTTAACAAGTTTCTTCAACATGATTTGGAGAAACAACAAGATGCCAACGAGTTAGAGGAAGAGTACTCTTATCCCCTTATTTAAGAATAAAGGCGATGTACAAGAATGTGCCAACTATCGAGGGATTAAGCTTATGAGTCACACCATGAAACTTTGGGAGCGAGTGATTGAGCAAAGACTTCGAAGAACTGTGAAGATTTCAGATAATCAATTCGGTTTTATGCCTGGTCGCTCAACAACTGAGGCCATTCACCTTCTTTGCCAACTTATGGAGAAGTATAGAGACGCTCATAAGGATCTGCATTTGGTGTTCATTGACTTAGAAAAGGCATATGATAGGGTACCTCGAGAAGTTCTTTGGTGGGCCTTAACTAGGAAAGGCATATCAGGCAAGTATATTAGCATCATCATGGATATGTATGAGGATTGTACTACAAGTGTCCGTACTGGTGTAGGGAGGACTGAAGAGTTTCCTATTACTATCGGAGTGCACCAAGGATCGGCCTTGATCCCTTTCTTATTTTCCATAGTCATGGATGAACTTATGAAGTCAATTCAAGACGATATACCGTGGTGCATGATGTTTGCCGACGATATTGTATTGATTGATGAGACGCAATCAGGTCTTAAAGCAAAGTTGGAAGTATGGCGACAAACATTGGAGAATAAGGGTTTCAAACTAAGTCAGAGCAAGACATAGTACATGGAGTGCAAGTTTGGTGGAGGTAGAAGCAGTAGTAATAGCGGAATTACTCTGGATGGTAAGGAGATACCAGTCAGCGATATGTTCCGTTACTTGGGCTCCATAGTTCAGAAGGACGGTGAGTTAGATGGAGATGTATCCCATTGATAATCATGTAATTTCCATGTGTATGTTTGTATTTTTTAATTAGTTTTGATTGATTTTTACTTTGGAAATTACACACTTTGGTGTAATAGTTTAGTTTGTTAAATTCTTGTAAATTGTTTAGATTAGGTTCATTCTGAGCTCAAACAGGTCTTGATCACTCAAAGGACAGTTGGTGAACCCCAAAAAGTGGAATAAAGGTGCATAATCTCAAGACAAAATAAGGATCCTGAATTTTTGGCCTATACCCGGTCGGGTATCATCTATACTCGATCGAGTATCTCGTTGAAACTTCAAATCGGATTGGATCCGAAGACAAAGGAACGTGCAGGGAATATTTTGACCACGATCGAGTGTCTATACCCGATCGGTTAGACCGACATACCCGATCAGGTATGCCTTTGAGTTTAAACCCCAAATCCGGTCGAGTATAGCTCGAATATCATTTTCTAAACATACTCGATCGAGTATAAAAGCACGCCCGATCGGGTATACATATAAAATATAGCCAGAATCGATCGAGTATGCTTCGAAGTTGACGTTTTACACATACCCGATCGGGTACCGTGTATATACCCGATCGGGTACCCGAGCTGCATCCCAAGAGCCTATACCCCCTTTCCTTCATAATGGGATATCCACTTTCCTATATACTTCTAAGCTCAGTCTAGAATAGTTCTTTCTTTATATTTTCTTCATGTTTAGTCTCCAAATGAGGAGCTAAACTCTTCCATCTTGGTTTTGCTACTTTGAAGCTTAATGATTTGTAAGTTGTGAGTTATTTTCTTTAACCTTTTTCCTTGAATATTAATTACTTCCTATTCATATTCCATATTAATATTTTGAGCATTACTTTAAAGATCAACTAGTTTTGCTTCATCTATTAATTATTACTAGAATCAATCGGTTAATACGCTTGTTATTAATTTGGTTCCTTCAAAGGTAGTAAACTTGGATTGTTAATGCATGCATCTCATGGTTAAAAAACCAAGGGGAATTAATTATATTGATTAAACCAATAAACCACTTGTGTTGAGGTTATCAATCTCAATCGTTTTCATCTTAAGCTTATCGCTACTATCGAATTAATATACGGCACTTGTTCTATATTGACTCGATAGTAAGTTTTATTAATGAACACATCTCGTTATTAATAACTACCCTCGATGAACTGGATATACTCCTCGATTGAGTATTTGAGAGGAAGATAGTTAAAGATATAACTGGGATCGAAGAACATTTCATTAAGTGAATAAAAGCAAAACCAAGTCCTCACATCTATTAATTAAACCACATAAGTCGTTCATCTTAGTGTTTAAATTTACTTCAAATTCAACAACAATCAAACCCCCCCTTTGTTTCTAACTATATAAAATAAAAGTATTCCTTTCTCTGTGGATACGAACCTTACTTCGTTATACTACGTATATTCGTTGTATTGTATTTATTTTGAGTGTACCTCACGACAAGTGCATGTCACCCATAGAATCGGAACAGGGTGGATGAAGTGGAAGAGTGCATCAGGATTTCTATGCGACCGAGGTATGCCGACTAGACTGAAGGGTAAATTTTATAGGACAGCAATTAGGCCTGCATTACTGTATGACGTAGAGTGTTGGGCGGTGAAACAATGTCACATTCAAAAGATGAGTGTGGCCGAGATGCGCATGCTGCGTTGGATGTGTGGGCATACTAGGAAGGATCGCGTGA